CACAAGGTTTGTCTGGCAGGACCTGTTTTTGTGGAAGCCGTGTTGTGTGGCTGTCAGCCTCCCTTCCCTATCTGGCATCACTAGATCTCTCTCTACTATGAGCCTTTCCATTGTTTTTCCTACAATGGATGTAAGGCTAACCGGTCAATAATTCCCCATGTCCTTTCTACTACCCTTTTTGAAAATTGGGACCACTGATGCCACCCTCCAGTCCTCTGGAACTTCACCTGTTCTCCACGAGGTCTCAAAAATGGAGGCCAGCGGGCGTGAGAGGACCCCTGCCAACTCTCTAAGTACTCTCAGGTGTAACTTGTCAGGGCCTGGCACCTTTGTAAAGTCCAATGCCCTGAGGAGCCCCTCGACTTCAAGGGGGGGTGACTCTAATCTGTGCCCCTAAGTTCCCAGCCTCATCTAATCTCCTATGCGGATATCCCCCGTCCTGCTTTGGGGAGAAGACAGAGGCAAAATAGTCATTTAGCATCTGTGCCTGTTCCCTCATATCTGTCACTGGATCTCCTTCTTCCTTATTTAGTGGTCCCACCACTTGTCTCCCCTTCCTCTTCCTATTTACATACTGAAAGTAGCCCTTTTTGTTGCTCTTGATATTCTTGGCAAATCTCAGCTCGTAATCAGCCTTAGCCTTGTGAAGAATCCTTCTGCAACAGGCCTCCTCCTCCCAGTATACCCTTTTGTCTATTTTCGCCAGTACCCATTTCCTACGGTGGTTCCTCTTTCGTCTAATCCCTCTAACCACCTCCTTTCGCATCCGTGGCGGCAGTCTCCTCCACCTCCCCACCTTACTGACTAAAGTTATCGTAAAGGCTTGCACCTCCAAAACCTCCCTTTTGAGTGCTATCCACCCCTCCTCAACTCGCCTACCTTCCAGTAACCTATCCCAGGAGACTTTCCCCAGTCTGGCCTTCAGTTGGCCAAAGTTGGCCCTCTTGAAGTCCCAGCTTCTGGTGCTCGACCTGCTGCATATCCCCAGTCCCCTGATCTCAAAGCGAAGGCTGGAGTGATCACTCGTGTCCAGAGCTCCCCTAATCTGTACTTCATCTATCAGCTCCTCCCTATTGGTCAAGACCAAGTTAAGGATGTTTCCCCCCCTCGTTGCCTCTCTGTGTGAAAAACCCTCCCTCTGTAGCTTCTAGGAAGCAACATGACCTGGCTGTCACCGCCGAATGAGTCTCCCAACTAATATCCGGGAGATTGAAATCTCCCATAATTACTGTGTCTCTCCCCCGAGATATCCTTAGAATCTGTCCTGTCAGGACGTCATCCAGGGTCTCAAGTTGACCTGGAGGGTGATAACATACCCCCACTGTCAAGTCTCTTTCCCTGTCAAAACCCCTAAGTTTCACCCAGACTGCCTCTACCGAATCCCCATCTGTGCTTCATTCTATCTCACTGCATCCTATCCCTTCCCTGATGTATAAAGCCACACCCCTACCTCTCTTTCCCTTCCTGTCCTTTCTAAAAAGGTGATACCCTTCTATGTTCACATTCCAGACTTGCCTTTCATCCCACTAAGTTTCTGTGATTCCCACCAGATCATACCCTCCTATTCCCAGGAGAGCTTCAAGC